ACACTGAATTATACCTACAAGTACATGTGTTCATGGCAAGCATAGACAACCAGCTGTAAGAGAATACTGTAGGTGGAATTCTTACATTAGGCAGATCATCTAACTAAATAATCTCTAAATTTCGCACAAAACCTAAAGAGGAAAAGTAGCCACAGGACTGAGAGGTTTGCAAAGGCTCTGCTGGTAGCATAATCATTGTTAAACACGAAGAAAAGCAAACAGGCCTCTATTGGGGCAATCCTGAAGTATTTAAAATTAGCCAAACACTTAGCAGGCAGATCTCAAAAAAATTCAAATACTAGATGAAACTATGCACCAGATTTGGTAATCCTCAAATTTTGACTAAGGCCCATTTATTATAGATGAGACAAGAGAATGCACAGCTCTTTTGCATCCATTCCCATTGTACAATAATACTTTGGGAAGATTGGTAATTGGTATATGGATAACATAATTGACCTAAATGCATACGTATCTTATGCGCCAGTTATTAGAAAACTGTACAGCAAAAATACTGTCATTACAAATATGCTGAGTAAAACATATAATATACTAAATCAATAATAATAATGATGAAGCTAAATTAACAGTATTATAACAAAAATAGCAGCATTTAAAAACTGTGACCCACTCAATACTTCATGTTATTCCCACAGGCAATTCCATTAATTTTCATGGCCCTATACAATTGTATAATATTACATATTAGTCACACTTCTTAGGGTATTTTTATTTCTCAATTTACTCATACCAATTTTACTTTATGAGCACCAAATCACAATAATTATGGAACACCTTAGTAAGTATGTAAAAATCAAACTTTCAGAAAGCTGGATTATCTCTAGGCCCACCAGAAGACAATGATTTACTACATTATGGGAATTACTGAACTAAATCATCTTTGCAGTTCCTTACACTTCAGAAAGGCTTTGATTAAAAGTACCCAATTTAAATTACAATCTCAAGAAAGATTTTAAAAGACATGGTGACTTTCCTTAAGGTAAGGTACATATTCAATTTTTTTCAATCTGAAAGGATATTTCAGTTTAATCTACCTCAATTATTTAATAGAAATTTGAACCCTATATTTTAAGTATTTCTTACTGGTTTATTTCTAAAGTTATATAAATTATGGACTTTTACAAAATGTTTTAAGACATATTAAATGTAAAATTGTATTCTAAAGTGTATTTTGTACCACATATAGAGAAAGTCAATCCACATTTTTCAGTATATACCACCTAAGACTAACAACACTACCACAAAAATAGAACTACAGGCAACTGGAATAATGAATGAACAAATAAATTGTTTAAAAAATAGAAAAAGTAATCTTAGGTGGAAGAAGAAAATTAAATGGACACTAAAGTCAGACTGAGTCCAAACTTTCACAACTCCACACCAAAACTAGATAATAGTATCTTAATTAATAAATGACTTTATCTCTCCTCTGAATCATTTTATATCCTGCTTCATTCTCTCCAGCTCCCAACCCAACCACATAAAAATATCTGATGGCATACCATTGCCTACAGAGCCATGGTCAAAATTCCTAGTCTGGCACTCTAAGCTTTCCATAAGTTTGGTCTCTACCTGCCACATTGATCATTATTTCTGTGAACACCACTCCCTTCTAATCTATCTTAGTTAATTTTTCTACTCATTTCCCCCTGAATAAACTATGGGCAATTAGTTACCAATTTAGCCTTGCCTCCTGCTATTCTCCCTTCCTAGAATGCTCTTTGTGTTCATTTTCAAACATATGATCCATACCACCTGTGCTATTAAGTTTCTGTTCTTCTTAAGAAAGCTTCTCTAACTACCCCAGTGCATAGCCATGGCCTAATTTTTCCAGTTGGTGAGCTATCCTTTGTGTTCCTCACTTAACACTTAGTAAATGCTGTTATTGCCTTATCTATCTGTACCACTATCTAGTCTTCCCCCAAATTAACATGATTCAAAAAGACCACACTGTGTATCTCTCAGCATCCCCTTTACTTGTCACAGTACTTAGCACAAAGAATCCATTCAAAAAAAAGAAGTTTACTAATGATATTTTTAAAACCAGTACATGCAATCAGATTTTTAAAAAACACTGCCACCTCATACTGACACGCTGCTTTTTATTTTCAAAGAAATTGCTTGCTTCACTGGATCATACTGTCCCTATCAAGTAGGCAGGGTGAGTATCCTTGCCTATATATTTTTTATTGAAATAGAATATTTGCCTCAATATTTTACCCAGAAAAACTGAGAATCAGAGAAAATGTAAAAGCCAAAATAACTGAATAGTCTAGGGTTTTTTTCAGTGTGTTCTATTGCCTCTCCTGCTTTCTAACTATTTCTCTTTTTGAAGAGAAGTGTTCATATTAGTACTTATGTTAACAGTAACAGTAGTAGATTTTATTTATTGAATATTTACAATGTGCCCAGGTTTGTAATAGGCATTTTATATATAATATATTACCTCAAAACTCAAAACAACTTGAACACAGACATTACTATTTATCTTGATTTCATAAATGAGGAAACTAGAAACCTGGAGAACTTAATTAATTGCCCAGGTTATACAACTAAGCAACAGAGCTCAGATTTTAACACATAGCTAAATGTCTGTAGAGTCCATGTTCTTAGCCCACTTTCCCTAAATCTAAAGAGTAGCTAACTAGTTTAGGCCATGCAGTTCAGAGGTGGTAGTTCATAAATAAGTAACTCAAAAATAGACCTCAAAGATTAGTTCAAATACAGAATATTTCAATCCTTCATATTGAAATTATAGTATTCTCTCAAAAATAAGCCACAATATATCACAGAAGAAATTTAATGAACAAGTAGAAAAAAACTGCTCTTACTGCTTTTTAAGTAACTTGATCCAACTTCTCAGTATCAACAGAATTTAGAAAAACTTTATTAATACAGTGCAAGTATTCTGGTATAGAATTTAATGCTATCTACTTGGATATTTATTTTAAAAGGTAACAATAAATTTTAAGCACTTCTATTCAGAAAGACAGGTACTTAGTTGATACCTTGGTGGCAAAGTATTCAGAGACAGACAGACAAGACAGTTCTACCACGTAAGCTGTGAGCTCTTCGGAGATGATAAACCCCTCTAAGGCCTATTTCCCTATCTATATAAATGAGGATACACAAATATCTACCTTTAATGGCTGTTATGAGGATAGTCTGACAAAGTATTGACTTAGAATATAGCAATTATTATTACTAGTATTTTTATTATCACTAAAAGTTTTATAATATTTCAACTAAAAGAAGTTAAAGTCTATGAGCTTTAAAAAAAGATGCTATTTATAGCACCTTTAAAAAACACATATTCTAAGACAAAACTTTAATCTTAACTTTTTTATGTAAAAGTACAGTGAAAATAACTTACCATCAGTTTTCCATTTATAACCATGATAATAACCTTCATAAATCAAGTTTATTCCATGTTCATTTTATTCTTTATAAACGTTAGCTACCATGTTGAAGTTTAACTTTTATTTTGACCACTTAAGAAACTAAAAGAAGTTTGAACCAGAAACTCAGGAAAGGTTGAGACTAGATTAATACAGAAGCAAAACTGCATTTTGCTGTCAATCATTACACTCTTTCTGCATCTGGGCCTGAACAAAGGACATTCACTAAGTTAAAATTTACAAACAACTCAGTGTAATAGTGACTCCAAATTTCATAACAATGTGAAGGATAGAAAAGTTGCCCTCCACATTATTCCAACAATATAAATTTCTCAAAGAATTTTTCACCTAACAATCATAGAGCTACCAGCTGACATTTTATACAGTTAGCACCCTTACTTTAGATAACAGTAAGGGTGCTACCTAGTTAGTTTTCTGATTTTTCTGCCCCATCTCCTCCCTCTTTTCCCTCTCCTTCCCAGCTATATAGTGTAAGACATATATGGCTATAATAGTTTGTGTTTATGTTTTTCCCCAGAACCTTCTGCCTTAGAAAAATCAAGAGGATTTCACTAAATTGAGGACATTAAATGCCTCCAAATCTCACATTATGTGAAGCTATGAGCAGGCAGAAGGAATGAAACAATTAAAATAATTAAGAATTAAGAGCAAAGAGTATATAAATCAATAATTTAATGGAACCTCTCAAAATACAACAGAATTTAAAATGAAATTATCATGGGAGAAAATTTCTTTGTACAATGACAAATCATCATTTAATCTGTCCTGCTAATGGGTTTTATTTTTTACTTATTGTATAAGGCATAATTAATCACTATTTCCACTTATTTGTTTTATTTTTAGAATATAATTCAATCATAATCATAAGGCAGCAATGTTTAAGTCTTTATACTGTCACAGAAAGAATATATGTGGCAACTGCTCTTAATTCTTTTTTTTTAATTTAATTTATTTATCTTTAGAGGGGAAGGGAAGGAGAGAGGGAGAGAAATATTAATGTATGGTTGCCTCTCATGTGTCCCCTGATAGGAACTGGCCTGCAACCCAGGCATGTGCCCTGACTGGGAATCGAACTGCGATTATTTGGTTTGCAGGCCCTTGCTCAATCCACTGAGCTATAGCAGCCAAGGCTGCTCTTAATTCTTAGTTATTTTAATTGTTTCATTCCTTCTGCCTGCTCATAGCTTCACATAATGTGAGATTTGGAGGGATTTAGTGTCCTCAATTTAGTGAAATCCTCTTGATTTTCCTAAGGCAGAAGGTTCTTGGGAAAAACATAAACACAAACTATTATAGCCATATATGTCTTACACTATATAGCTGGGAAGGAGAGGGAAAAGAGGGAGATGGGGCAGAAAAATCAGAAAACTAACTAGTTAGGTTGTGCTCCAACATGATTTAAACTATCTGTAATTTTCACATCAACAGAGGAGTGAAAGTATTATTTTAAAATACTTTCTTTAAAGTTTGTTTTAATACATTCTTAAAATAAAATCATGGCTCACATCAAACATAGCGGTAGATGATAGTACCTTATTATGCTGTATTTGAACCACTCACCGAAGCTCGGTCAGGTTCTCCATCTGCCAAGCCTGCCTCCATAGTGAAAGAAGATAGATTTATGCTTCACTTTCCATTAATGTTCCATTAGCCATTCTGTATATATGAAAATCCTAGAAAAAGAAAACCATGTGTATTAAAAGTGGTATAAAACTGTGATAAGTGGAAAATAAAGCATTAAGTATTTTAGGAGGGAGAAATTATTTTAGGCTGAGGTTACTAAGAAATCCAATAATGCAGGGAAAAAATAGATTTTGACATAAGCTTGGGGAATGATAGAGGTTTAGAGAAAAATGTTAGAAGGAAATATAAAGAGAGTAAAGAGAAATAGCAAGGTTAAAGACATGAGATTGCTCAAAATTTGAAAAGATGCTTAAATCTGCTTTTAAGTAATGAAATATTACCATTATTTGTTCATTATTACACTGGCAACTAAGGAATGTGCTAATATTAAAATTGGAGAGCACGATGGAAAACAGGTATTCTCATTCACTTTTGTGATAAATCATAACATTTTTCTGAATGACAACTTACAATACATGTGTTTTCATCCAACAATTTCAAGGCCAGGAATTATTCTACATACATATTTCTATATATGCACAAAGATATATAAATAAACACATCCAACAAAGTAATAGATATGATGGAAAAACTGAAACAACCTTAATGCCCATCATTAGGAGCTTGCTTAATCTAAATCACAGACATAAAAAACTAAAGGAACTTTTCAACCAACCCCAAACCAACAAATCAGTAGACTTCAAGTCATTTCTTAGAGTTCCAAAATCAGTTTTTTCTGTAAGTATAAAAGGCTGTACTAAGACATAAATGCTGGTGAAAATAGATTTTAATTGAGCTTTAAAGGGCCATCACTTGGTTTATTTGATATAACGAATAAAGTTAGCCCAAGCTATATGTATTGTGTGTGTGTGTGTTAATTTTTTAAAAGAGTGGGAAAGTCAGGAACTTAGAAGGTTTCTGCCCTGAACAAATCAAAGAATAAAACTGCATTAACAGATGTGGAGTACTTTGTGAGAAGACTTGAGAGAGAAGGGATGAATGTTAGGAGCTTCTTTTGGACATATACATTTGAGATATCAGACATCTGAGTAAAGATATCAAGGAAACAGCTGGGCACGCAGATGTGAGGTTGTAGAGAAGTCATGCCAGAAATATGAATTGGGAGGCAGCCTATTTAAAACCATGATACTGGATAATATCTTGGGAATCTGTATAGACAGAACAGAGGACCAAGTTCAGAGTGCAGAGGTACTTCAATATTATAAGATCAATATTTAAAGAATGAATGAAAGAATCCCAATTTCTGGTTTTCGATTTTCAGAATGACTATATATAGTTACTCTATTTAGGTAGAGACAGAATTATTCTATGTACAAAGCAAAGGCAACACACACAAACACAAAGTAAAACTTGAATTGTATCATGACTAACTTTAAAAGGGAGCAGGGAGAGGGAAAAAAATCAAATTAAGGATTAGTAGGTGAGGAGACCAAAACTCCTCACCTTTGATAATGAGGAGTTAAGAGATATTGCTATCATGTCAAGAAACGAGTTTTTAGTATTTTTTTTAAAGCCACAGACTTGAACTAAAAATATGTAACAATAAATCCTGGAAGAAGAGGGTGATTGGATGCTAAAAATACAGGGTGACCTGGCTGGTGTAGCTCAGTGGATTGAGCGCGGGCCTGCGAATCATAGGATCACAGTTCGATTCCCAGTCAGGGCATATGCCTGGGTTGCAGGGCACATGCCTGGGTTGCAGGCCAGTTCCCAGCAGGGGACATGTGAGAGGCAACCATACACTGATATTTCTCTCCCTCTCTCCTTCCCTTCCCCTCTAAAGATAAATAAATAAAATCTTTTAAAAATTTAAAAAAAATACAAGGTGGGGCAAACATAGGTTTACAGTTGTGAGTATGCAAAACACATAGTTTATTCTTGTATTATGATTTATTAATTATTGTATTATTTTCCATAAGAACAACTGTAAACCTACTTTTGCCTGACCCTGTATAAGCAAACTAATTTCCTCATCATTCAGAGGTGAAAGCCAAAAGATTTTTAAATAATAAATATGGGAATAGTAAAGTATTTTTAAAGTTAAAACAGTAACTACAAACAAACTCAATGGCAGTTGGCTCTAGGGAATAGGCTTGAAAGGAAGAAAGGCAGTTTTTTCTGCCATTTTAATTTTTAAAGCGCTGTTTGTTATTTCTATAACCAAAAAGAATGTCTAATACAATTTTTCTAAAGGAGTACACTACAACACAATCCCGAAGACTTGTTTTTTTCCCTTCAATTGCCAAGCTAAAGCTAGGCCTGCATCCTAATTTAAATATAATTACTAGTTGAATTTGAAGTTTAAAGAAGACTATGTTCCCTCTTTTTTTTTTTTTAATCAGTACTCTAGCAATTGCTGAGGAACTGGTGCCTTGCTATCTATACTTAAACTTACAAAGTTTGTAGAGAAAGTAATTTTTATAACAATTTTTCTCTATTTTGGGGCTTAGATTGTTATTTCAGTCACAGAGAAAAGGAAAGAGTATCTACTAAGCAAAGCCAACATATTTAACCCATAGGGTTGTTTAATTCTAGCAACCTTATGACAATGTATTGAATGATGGCTGCCTCTAAAGGCAGCAACAAGTCATGTAATATTAGTATACGGCTTCCTATCTCACAGGATGCTTCAAAACATGTACATTGTTCTATTAAATGCACATGTAACAAAAAACAAAAATGCTCAAAAGCAAGAGTGTTATCAATGAACACACCACAGTTCTAAACTACAACATTTATCACTGGAAACTGAATTAAATTCAATAATCTAATCTCAATGCCATTTTGACCAAAAATTAGATTGTGAATAAGTACAACTTCATTAAGCTAGTCTGAACTAATCTATAATATTTACACTAGGTCAAACCACACAGGAAAAAGTAACATAATAAGAAATTAATTATATAAATGTGACAGTTCCCAAAAAACTGGCTAACGCCAAAATCTTATTCATGAATGCTGTGAAAATAAGAAAAAACCTGATTGCTTGATTAAAGCAGTCTATCTACCCAAATGGCTTTCATCAAAATTATTGCAAAATGGTATAATACACATGCTTTCTAGAGTAGGATAGTATTTAATATTTTGGCACCTATGAATTATGTGAAGATTCCCTCTAGCCTAAAAATGTAACAACAATGATGATGCTGATAATAATGGAAGACCAAGAGTCAGGCAAAAAGCTGGACACTGATGGGCAAGGGGGAAGTGGGATAGAAATATGCAAGGCAGGTTATCCCACTGTGGCTGTACCACTTCAGGGCAATGGATGAGAAGACATCAACCAGGGAGGCAGAGAGAAGAAATAGATTGAACTAATCAATTTAACTCTTAGAAGAAGAAAAGGCATAGTAAATAAATGAACTATCATATAAAAATGAAAAAATATTCTAAATGACTCCACTTCTCTGGAGAAAATTTCTGGCAAGGTATGAAACAAATCCCATTTCCCATTATCTCTGGACCAAGCACTAATATACATTATTCATAAAATTTATGGTTTATAAATTTTAATACCTATTGTTGCTGCACATTAATTATATGTCATTCATAGAGCATAAAACGCATTCATCAAATATTTATTTAAATCTAATCATGTAAAAGACATTGCTCTAAATTCTGCACATAAATAACAATACACATCATCCCTGTCCTAGCCAAGAATAAACTGGCTAGTATACTACAATGTAATGAGACTTCGACAAAGGTATGTGCTACATGATGTTACCTACAGCAGTTCATAAGGATATTAAATCCAGAGTTCCGGACGTGGTAGAATGAGAATACCCAAGAAACAAAACAGAACAAAAAACACAAACAACCCAGTAGCAACCAGATCCCAGAACCCAGTCTATAGTCTCTAAATATCACTTCTCATTAAAAGACACCAGGGCTTCTTGGAGAAACAGCATATACCAAGGTCTAAAAAACCAAATGTCCAAGCTCAGCACAGAGTAGCTTACATATCTAAGCAGAAAAGTTATAGAAGACTCCTGAAGTCATATAATAAACTCAGGAGTCAACTTGAAGAGGATTCTAAAAGCCAAAGATGGAGAAAATTTGTATCTATAAAAGGCAGTTCAAAATCAAAGAGCTAGTCATCATTTCAAAAAAAATGGAAACAAAGCAAATTAAACCTAAGAGTTAAAAATTAGATCTTTGAAAAAAAAATAAAACTAACAAATGCCAGATAAGACTAAGAAAGGGAAATAAAAGAAAAAACAGAAACAAATATTATGACTGATAAAGAAGACATCACAATAATATCTCCAAACTTTTAAAATATCGTAAAAGGAAATTATAAATACTATACCAGTAAGTATGAAAATGTCTAAAAAACTAACAAATTCCTAGAACAATCCAACTTACTGAAAAGTCCACAAGAAGAAAAAGAAAATCAAAACAGCCCTATTAAATCCGTAATAATGAAACTTCTCAACAAAGAAAATTCCCATTGCAGATAACTTGTGAATTTTACCTAACACTGGGGTGTGGAAGGGACTAAAATCTTACAAAACAATTTTGTTAAAAGCAAAGTAGTGTTCCTTGATAAGGCCCACATAAACCTGGTTTAAAAGTAGACAAGATTACGAAGACAGGAAAATTATGACTCAAGACATGGATATCAAAATCCTAAACAGACAGCTGGGGGGGGGGGAAAAGCGGGGAGAAGGGTTTTCAGGAACTACTTACTATAAAGCACACACGGACAAAACCAAGGGGGAGGGTGGAAGAAAGGGAGGGAGGTGGGTTTGGAAGGGGTGGAGGGGAGTGGTGGGGAGAAAATACAAACTGTAATTAAACAATAATAAAATAATTTAAATAAAAATAATTCTTTTAAATCCTAAACAGAGTATCTGAAAACCATAACTACAGATATACATACATATACATATACACATACCAATATTTGAAAAAATACATTTACAATTATACCTAGATGTATATTCAAAATGTTTATAGCAATATTATTTGTAATAGCCAGAATCCAGAGGAGGGCATATCCATCAACAATAGAAGACACAAACTC